CAAAGTTTCTTTAAATATTTAAAACCGAACTACATGTGGAGGTCCAGTGGTCGACGTTAAAAAATGTATATATTACAAGTATTTCCACATAGATAAAGAATTTCTAGTGTCTTACATGATGTATTAAAATGACCCTATATTATATTCGTATAAATCTTATCCATAATTAAACCAGGTGGTAATTTTACGTGCTACAATTAGTGGCGCACTCTATGGAGCGGGAAAATAATTAAAATTAAAGTAATGGCAAAGCGACCGTGTTTGCAATCTTTTCTATCAAATAAATATTATCTTTAAATATTATAATTTCTTTTACAAATTATTTTTTCCAGTACTCCGGCTTCAGACGTTGCATGTTGGCCCTATATCTCATAGTGATTGTTCTTCTGGTAACCGCGCTGGTCGTGATAATAGTTTTGGCACCAATTGAAGAAACTTGGGAACAACTCACCAAAAACATGATGGGCAGATCGTAGTCAACAAAAAAATAAATGAGAATTAAAAAAACAATATGAAGTCAGAAAGACTGTGTACAGTTTCAAACAAAACCAATAGTAATAGGAAAACAAATCTTGGACCATAGTAAGGGACTTTTCGAATACTCGATCAAGTAAAAAGATTCAGTAAATAATGATCTAAAGTATTTTTATGCTAGAATATCAATAATTATAATTATTAGTCTTTATATATTGCTACAGCTTTATTTTGGATTTACAATCATACCCGTGTAGATTTATTTATATGTAGGATAAGATTAAAAAAATCATTTCTGAATTAGACATTCGTAGATATTAAAATTGTTAAAAACTATATTGATACTTAATTTTCAATATATCATAAAAAATCTTATTTTATAGGATGTAAATATAAAACCTTAATTTAACGTTAGATATAAACAAAATATAGTATAGTGTAAATTTATAAAATATTTCAAAAATTACTTTTTGTTCCAATGAACTCAATTTATATTACAACTAAAATATTCAAAAATTGCATTATCAATTGTAAATAACTAAAATGTCTGATATTTTTTATAAATACTAGTTCAAAATGAATATTGTTTTTGCTTTTTAGGAAAAAAATGCAATTTTATATAAAAATAATTTTTTTAGAGATATTTATATTTGAAATGTTTACTTGCAGTCAAATTGTCAAAATATAAAATAATGAATATTTATCATATACGTTTCTACACTAAATATGTGTCATCATTCAGCAAGTTAACAAACCCTAAATAAAATTATTTGTAAGTCAAAAAAAAAATTAAATCAAAACAATATTTTATATAATTTTCAATATTTAGTTAATTTTGAATTTTGTATAAATTTGTACAATTTTTTGAAAATTTGCTAACTTATTGAATGATCACACACATACAGTGTCGAAACGTATATAATAAATAATTAAACTATTTTTTTTTAACTTTAACAATTTGGGTGCAAATAAATATTTCAAGAATCTGTCGAAAAAAATCTATATAGATTATAGTAGGTATAATTTTTTTGATTAAGTATTACGTAATTATGTAATTTTGATATTTGTGTCATTAAATGGTAAGATTAAGTTTAGTATTAATAATAAGTAATTATACTTTTATTATTAAAATTAAATCAAGGAGAAAATATGAATCTAAAACGAGTCTAGATAAAAAAAATATTTATTACTCATTTCTCGTCCATGACTATAAATTTATTTGCATTATTTACAAGGGCACTTTGTACTTCAATTAAAAACAAATTTGTGAAGATAAAAAAAAATTATGTATGTACCCATAAAAATTATATACGTGTTGAATTTTTCAATCAATTTTGTATTATTTTCAATAAATAAATTTTAATTTTAATATTTATTACACATTGTCTTGTGTTTGCAATAATCTAAATGTTGTTAAGTTAAATAATACTGATAAAAAGTAGTTTGGAAAATAAATTTATATTAAAAATTAATCCGTCCATATTAAAATAAATAAAAAAAAATGTACTCGATTTTTGTAAAATGTGTAAGAATTCACCAAATATCTATAATTTTCAAAAAAAATCGACTTTTGAATTATACTTGATATGATCTTCATAATTAATGATTCTTAATTAA